TCAGGCAATATATTGCACACGATATATTGCATCTCCAATATTCCCGACGAATCAACTTTACAAAAAGGAAGCGTTGATTCTTTGTATAAAACAAATAATAGATCAAATTAGAAATAAGGTTGGTGAAAACCACTGCATATGTTATGCAAGCATAACCAAGCGTTATTTCTCAATCTTCTCATACCTGCATAGTGTTGGATTCAATCATAAAGTCGATTTTTGCTGATTTTTGCCTCATTCTTACAACTTTTTTTAAGTTTGAATTTTAAGTTCAAATTGAGATAACTCATTTTAAAAATTATACTTTGGGAAAATAAATTGAAATGTATAAAGGGCCACAAATGGACATTTTCCGACGGTTGTTGTTATTGAAAATCGTCAATTTTGTCGCGAAATGTGATCTGATACCAGAAACACTTGCAAAAATCCCTTTTGAAAGCCAATTTTGACCATAACTAATCGTGATTTCTCAATATTATCGTTTCTGCAGAGTAGTTAATTGAAACCTAAAGACGATTTTCTCTCCTATCTGGCCTATTCCCATAATTTTTCTGAAGTTATCTGGAAATTTAGAAAAAATGTCTTTAAGCCTAGTTCTAAGCAAACTAAGTTGAAACTATTAAAGGGCCATAAACGGGTCTTTTTGGTGGCGGTTATTTTTGTCACCGATGTTGTGTAAATTTTGAACTGACACTGCAGCAGTTACAAAATCTCTTTTAGATCAATTTGTGAGCAGAAACAAGGGCAATTTCGTAATTTTCACGTTCCTGTGCAATATTTGATTGCAACTTAAATCCGATTTTGCTCGCACTCGGCGGCACATTACCATTAATTTTCTTAAGTTATCTCTAAATTGAGAAAATACGTCTTCACAACTATTGGGGCCAAAATAAGTTTGGAACTAATAAGCGCCTGCCTGTACAATGGGGATTGAGACCTAACCTGATATTTTGCTTCATTCTCATACATTTTCTTAAGTGATGTTTAAACTGAGAAAAACCATCTTCATCATGCATTTTGTAACGGTTTTTAATTGAAAATCATTAATTGTTCGCAAAATGTAAACTGATGGATTCGCGCTTTAACCTCGGTAGCATACGGACGTACCAGTGCGAGCGTACATAAATACCTAAGATATTCGCAAACTGCGAGGAATTTTGGTA